TGTCAAAGGTGCGAGTACAAACATAGATACAAGTCTTCAGCAGAATGTAGTGGCCTGGATGGGACTGACTTGTGTCAGTGAGGATGGGAGTTATGTAGAGATTTTGCAAGCAATTTCGAGATGTTTAAATTGAGCCCTACAGATTATGTGAAGCCAATGTAAGGACTGACAGAGGGGCCGGTGTGGTAAATGTGAGCGCACACTAAGATGAGTCTCTCACTGCAACATTCATTATAGATTGTAGCGGGTCAAGCTGGGAATGTGTAAGGCCAGTGAGAATATTTAGAAATATTTTTACTCCTTGTATAAGTAGGGTATGCAATATGGTTTGGGTAACAGAGGAATATCATTCAGTTTAGCAGAATCAATGTATCTCTATGAGGAAAGTTCAATGTATCCATGCCGCGAGTGAAGACACTGAATGGCAGTCACACTGTGCAGCACTGCCCCAGGAAGCACCTCTAGCAGCCATCTGAGGCGTTGCCAGTGGAGTTATCACTAGGCTGTAATTTAAACACTGCATTTTCTCTGAAACGTGTTTACTGTAAAAAGCCTGAATGGTATGAGTCTACTCACCAGAACAAATACAATAAGCTGTAGTTGTTCTGGTGACTACAGTGTCCCTTTAATTACATGTATTACTCACCTAGCAATTGAGGGTGAAGGTGTTGGTAGATATACAACACACATAAAAGCAAAAACAACATTTTATATATAATCCCCTACACGTCCATGAGTCTGACATAATGAAGCGAGGATACTAACTAAATTTTAATAAAAAAATAAAAAACTTAAGGAGGCAATTTGTATGTACTTTCATACTATCTAGCTCTTAAAGATATTGGCATACTGATAGTTGTGGGGGGTACATTTACATTTAGTTGGCCAGTTTTATATAAGTATAACCATCATTTTAAGCTTTCTTTTATTCAGCGTTTTGCTTCCACTACTACATAACCAGTGAATTTCTCCTGAATTATTTATACTTCTGCAGTTTAGCTGTTGAATGATAGCTAATAATTGCAGATTTTTTTTGTTTATGTTAGTTGAAAAATAAATAAATACAAAAATGATAAAAGATATATATATATATATCTCAAAATGAACAAAAGTCAAAATTTTATAATATTTATTATTATATATTATATATTATATAAGCAACATTTTGAAAAAGAAAACTAGAAAATGGGCAAAACAACACAGGTAGAAATATCAATCTCACACTTTATTACATATAATCAATACACATATATGAAAGTGAAAAAAAAATCTGCAGAATAGATCCCAAGGCTCCTCCAGTCAGCTAAGTAGGCTGACGTGTAATTGCTTCTGCAGAGAATATAGTACCCCTCTGTGCTTTTTCTATCCAAATTAATGGAGTCCAAGTACCACCATCTACCTAATAATTCTTTTGAAATAAATGGAATTCTAGCACCACCATATTCAGAATATAAAAACCCAGGGGAGTGTGGTATAAACTGTATAAAACCTTGCATGTCTCAAAGGCAGTAAATGTAATAAATTACACACGTCTTATATAAATCCCCCATCCCCACTGACATCAAAACGTGTGTGGCCTGGTGGAACTTGAAATTAAATGAATCACAATATCAGACAAATATGATTGCTGTATCCTGCATACTGCTGTACCCCAATCTACTTCTTTTTTGCTCTTAAGCTTTCCTAACTGCAAAATCTTAACAAAAACACATGGTAATTTTAGAAAACACTCCAAGCACCCTAGCCTCTACAGCTTGCTGTAGTGATTATGGTGCTGGGAGTGTCTTGGTGCCACAAGAGCAGTTTAAGTTTGTAGCGGAGAGGTAGTATAATCCACAGTATTTCCGCTGGTAGACCGGAACAGCATATAATAATCCAGGTATAACAAGTACAGCGTACAATAATCCCGGTAGCGTTAAATAAATCCTTCCTTCCCAAGAACTAGACGACACATAGGCTGGGAGTCAACTGAGGTTTTAATCACAAGTTACAGTATGTGGTTCCTCATGCAAGGGGTTTACCTACTGACTTTACAGGGATTGTACAGTAGGGGACTACATGGGGAACTTGACAACCAAGACATTTCTCCCACCATGCACTGCTGTACGAGAGGGATACTCCCACTAAAATATCCAGTTAAGTGGATTATCCCTCCGTGCATCAGAACTGGCTTTTTCCATAAAAATATATAACTTTAACATTATTCATGCTATTATACACTTAAACATACATTTTTCAACAAAGGCACGAATAGACCAGCAGGGATAAAATACCGAAAGACCGGTGCTCCCGAACGGCCTGGAAGTCCAGCGGTATTCGTGCCGTCGAGTAGCCGATTTTAGTTCCAGGCACTCAACGACAAAATATCGATGGGCTAACAAAGGATCCAATATGGCCGACCGCCGCGTGGTCGGTATCCGAACGGCGGCCACCGTGAACATCCATTAACTACCGAAAGATACAATGTTGCGATACTTAATGGGAGCCACACGACCTCTTGTGTATGGTCTCCCATTCGATAGTTTGTTCGTTTCACGAACAGTGTTGAAATTCACTGTTCATGAAACTACTGTATGAATGCTGGTGGCTGTCATGCCACCAGCATATGAATGCTCTCGTTTGCATCAAATACAGACAAGTGAATATACTCAGTTCAGATAGCCTTAAAGCTACAACATCACATTAATGGAAATACAGTCTTAAGTGGCTAGTTTTGCCACAAAGTTCCTGCTTAGGATCCTATGGTTCTGTGGCATTAGTAGTGTACAGGGAGAGTGACACCTGGCAGATCCCAGGTAATAGATATGTGGGATTTGTTTCGTTCTGAATGTACATTTGTATGAATTTCAAGCGCAGAAGTCCCGAAGCGCTGAAGTTCCGAAGTTCAGAAGTGCCAAAGTGATTCGAATTTCTGAAAGTGGAAAAACAAGAGAGAGAGGGAGGGAAAATTCCATGAATGCTGACATGAATCTTGACCAATAAGCTGATTCCTTTTGTGCAATGACGTTATATTCTGTACACGTCACAGCAGACGCTGAAAGGACGTGCGAGGGAGCTGTGCTGCAAGAGCACAGTAAGTACTTTGTCCCATGCAGTCTCATGCAGTCTCTACTGCGCATGACTGCAACAGACAAACATCCTTGGCCAATTATTATATATGATATATAAAGTAGACATGTGCAATTAGTTTTGTTAAGCTCTTGTTGATTTGTACAATGGGTTGGAGCGCTTAATCTATATGCTTAGATACTTTACTAGGTATCAAGTTTATGCCTGACACAATTAGCCTTCCAGGGGGATGTGTAGCATTTTTGTGAGAGATTGTTAAGTGCTTGTTATTTTATTTTCTTATTTGTTAAATAAATACTAGTCTTTTAGCACTCTACTAGTCTTTTAGCACTCTAGCCCAGATTCCAGGTTCCAGATAGGGGAGTGTCACCCCTAATTATTAATACTAAGTGATCCCACCTTAGAGCCAAGGCATTAATAGACTCTTAAGACAGTGAGAGTCCATTTGTTATATACATTTGACACTTTTTTGCTGTTTCAATGTACTACTTTTCCTGTTTTGTCTGCTTTATCCTGAGAGATGATTCCATGAGAAGTAGGTGGAATGCCACCTATATGAGCACCACCGCGCTTGTATAGAGCATTAATTCTCAGGCTCTAAAAATTGTGAGTTTTCTCTCTTATTTATTTACCACTTAATTTGTATATCAGTACCATCTGCACTAGCTTTTTTTTCTGTGTTTTTATCCCCTTTTTATGGATTCAAGTACACCAGAATCTCCATACTTAATTCAATAAGGGGTAAGCAATTATTGCATGTATATACTATCAAGCACCCATTTATTGTTAAGATTCTATCTTGATAATTGTTCGTTAAATTTTTTTACTTACTCAAATTTCCAAACCAAATTTTTTGCCCATGCACATCCCTACCAGGTAAATAGGCAAGACATTAAACAACGTTCTGACTACTTACGATGGAGAGAATTAGAGTAGTCCTGGCACCATAACTACATCAGTGAGCTATTACTTTTCCAGATACGTCACTTTGTGCATGGATACAGGGACCAGGAAACTCTATGCACTGTGCAATCAGCATAGATCACTATGGTACTCAAAATGTCTATTTAAGTCCAGTTCTTTGATTAGAGTTAGTCATCTAGAAATGTTTGGTTGCCTTAAAGCAAACAGAGCTCTACAATACATAATAAAGACTTAATTAATTCATTATAAATTGCTGGAAGGGAGCAAGTTGAGTTAAATGTTTATAGCTACCTATTTTACACCGTGATTAATTAAATAAAGATGTCCTCCATGTGATGCCATTGGGAAGGGAAGTTAGGCAAAATTGCAGGGTGAAGCCAGTGGCATCAAAGAGAGAAGATATATGAAATTGTTATCTGAACATGGAATGTCTTGGAGCCTGTATATATTAAATTGCATTTCATTTTAAAAATCAAAGTTATCTTTTACCCAGAAAGTTTGTGTTTGTCAGGAGTGTATCCTTAGAGTAAATGTTTACTAAATTCCTTGTTTGTGTATTTTTTACAATATAAAGACAAAAAAACAATACAGTTCCATATAACATTCTGATTTTTGAAAACTTTTTTTGGAGAAGACTGGCGAGTTATAGTTTCTAATCTCAGTTGACAACAATTTCTGTAATATATCACTCCAGGAAAAAAGAAGAAAATAATTTGAAGTGGATTTTTTTTTAGATATTAATGTTATCTATCCGACATGATATCAGAAGCTACAAAAGAATATTTTTCTTTTTAGTAATTTTTCCCTTACATGAATCACCAGCAGAGCAAAGAAACCTGATTCATAGGTATATTCTTGCATTTCTGTTGCCACAAAAAAATAAATACACAGAGAATATCTTGTGGATAGTGATGTCCTGAACGGTTCGCCGAACGGTTCCCAAACGGTTCGTGAACGGTTCGCCACAGACTCATCATTGAGTAAACTTTGACCCTGTACCTCACAGTCAGCAGACACATTCCAGCCAATCAGCAGAAAACCCTCCCTCCCAGACCCTCCCACCTCCTGGACAGCTCACTAAGAATGCAGCTTCAAAATGGATGATGTCCAGGAGGTGGGAGGGTCTGGGAGGGAGGGTCTGCTGCTGATTGGCTGGAATGTGTCTGATGGCTGTGAGGTACAGGGTCAAAGTTTACTCAATGATGAGTCCGCGGCGAACCGTTCGGGACATCACTACTTGTGGATAATTTTGTCTTAAGTGATTTTCTTTTAGGCTTTTTAATCAACACCAAATCAACTATAAGTGAGATAATGCTTGTCTTTCAAATATACATAGTTTTTTATTAATTTAAATTTTACATTTGTTCCTGGGGTCTTCAAAAAAAACAAAACAAAAAACACCATTAGCCTGGATGGTGATGTGTCATATTATTATGCCATTCTGAAAATGCATAGCCACAAGAGAAAAAATAAATACAGAATGATGCACTCAATTTTAAAACAAGTTTTAAGATGATATCACAATTGAGATTTTCATAAAAATATTTTCGAAATTATGTGGTTGCTATATTATATTTTGGCCCTACATTTCATCAAAAAGCGGCATTGGGCCTGCTACAAATGTGATTTCGAACTAATCTATCGGCATATTGCGGCACTGAACCAAGCGATAGCGCTGGCCAGATCGATATGGGACACAAGACAAAAAAGTTGAGGACAGGCATGAAAAGTAGTGACATGCACATGGAATGTCCGGGCCCACGATTGCTAACAACCTTTATCAGTAGAACTCCTGTACAACCTGGCTGCTTGCAAACCTGCTAAAGCACCAAACACTCCGGCTCCACAGAGCCAAGAGCTCAGCCGGTTATGATGGCAGCCCTGAAGGAGCTGCTTTCGGATATGCAAAGGAAAATCCACACAGATGTGGCCTCCCTCCGTGTTGATTTCTCCGGTCTGGTAAGCAGACTGGGCACTCTAGAGACAACAACGAATAGCTAATCTCAGAGGATAGCTGCCCTGCAGCACACAGTGCTAAAAATAAGGGGAATCCCGGATGAGCTGCCAACAGAAGTGCTACCGCATCTGGTGAGATACCTCTTGGTGGCTCTGCTCTCTCCAAAGCTGGCAAAGTCGGTCACGCTAGACGGAATATTCCGCATCCCCAAACCTAAAAAAGCCCCAAGCACCGCATCAAAAGATGTGGTAATACGCTTTCAACATGGCAAAGACAAGTCCACAGTACAAACCGCTCTGAAGGGGACCCCCCAATACGCCTTTGAGGGCATGACACTTACTTTCTATGCGGACATCTCAGGATGCACACTGGCCTGTAGGAGAACATTCATACCATTCACCTTCCTGTTATGAGAGAGGAATATAAATTATAACTGGCGCTCACCCCGAATCCTGCTGGTCACTCAAGGCAGTTCTTCCTCAAAATTCAACACATGTCTGTCCTTGAGAATTTGGGCCTTCCAAGAGACTCCATACAGCTTAGACAGCAGGGGACCCTGGTGTTGTCACATAGATGGGACTTGTCGACCATCACCCCGTTTGTCCTCCGAGAGCCTGAGCCAAATACCTATGCCATGGCTACCACCTGAGATCCCTTACAGTCTGCCTTTCCTTGCTTAATTCCCTGGATGGAACTGCAGATGGCTCATACTTCATATGTTTATGTTGTGTTTTACTTTTTAATTTAATATGCCAGGATGCTTAGGATGTTCCTTCGGCTTCCCCTTACCCGCAATATCATACAACCCATACTCACTTGAGTTGCCATTATAACCACCATCCCCTCGCCTCCATAAGTGATCACTTAGAGGCTTACAGCCTTAAGACAGCAGAGCTGTTAATCCTTAAGATTAGTAGACACAAACTGCCAATATGGAAAGTCTAACATGTCACCCATGGCGAACTCCATATTCATTTACGATACCAGCATTTGTCTATAACTGGGGCACACAGCGGACCGTCCCCATCCCCCCTATTCGTCCCTAGGGACCTCAGACCGCTTGCTGCCCGCGTTATCAGTAACTATTGTCAAGTACTGTAGTTTCTTGTTACATGAATTGTACCGTTCTTTCACAGAAAAAAAATGGTGAATGCTTATTATAATGTACAATCTGCTCGTTTTGCTATAGATATTTGTCTTTTCATTGTACAATGCAATATATTGGTCTACATGGCACGGTGAAAAATAAAGAATTTAAAAAAAAAACATGTGGCACTGGGCAATGTTTTAGACATTTCTCATCATCCATCACCAGGGGGTAAATATTTCCTCTGTTGATGTTCTTCTTCATGGGGATTTGATGTGCAGGCTGATTTGACCCATCTTGCTATTCACTGTTCTCTCTCTACATTCTGTAATTTCAAGGGGCATTTGACAGTTCTCTCAGTGACTATCCCATTGTTGACTACATCTTCGACATTCTGCCAAGCTAGCTGCTTATAGCTGTTTTTTTGGCTATCCTTGTATTAAACAAGTAACGCACAGTGATGTTTTCATTGTGAGCATAATTAGACCTTCTCTTACTCTCCTACCTAATAGTTTTGTATTGTGAGCCATTTGGCCAAGCTTGTGTCATCTCTGGCTTCGAAAGTGCATGGCACCTTGGCTAACCACCATGTCCCCTGACATTACTTTCCCCCATGTGCCTGTTAATTTGAGTGAAGCAGATTTTCTTTCTCCATCTGTCTTTCTGTCTTCATGTTTGCCACACTTTCTACATGTTTGTCTGAAACCCATCTCCTGTCCAAATCTCTTCTATCTTTTCTGCCACTCCGTCATCCTATTACTTTTTTCTCATACCACTCAGACCTCACTCAGTCTCAGTCCAGACAGCTGTGCTGTTAAAATAAAAAAAAAATATGTAATAAAAGTTACTTTTCTTTTCCATTTTAGAAATCAACAGGAAGAAATCCCTGTTTCACAATCTCTAGACACCATGGACCAAGGATTGTAACTTCAACCCCTTCTCCTCTACCCCATTGACCATATAGGGATAAATATGTCACGTATTCATCCGCTTATAGAAATGTGGTTAATGACATTTACTGTCCACACAGGAAAAGTTGTGCCGAGCAGCAACCTAATCCACAGAAGGTTTAATGCTGAGTAGTAATTGTACAAATGAAACCTGGTCTCATGTATTCATCCGCTTATAGAAAAGTGGTTAATGACATTTACTGTCCACACAGGAAAAGTTGTGCCGAGCAGCAACCTAATCCACAGAAGGGTTAATGCTGAGCAGCAATTATGCAAATGAAACCTGGTAACTGACTTTGGGGTCAAAGGCCGGTTACAGCCTATCAGAACTAAAGGAGGGGTATTTAGGCCCAGTTCTCAGCCTGCTCAGTGCCCTGTCGTGGTTTCCCTTGTGGTTGTCCGAGAGCGCGTTCCTGTTTATAGTTTTCTACCTGGTTTTTGACTTTGGCTTTGTTTATTGACTTCTCTATATTCTGGTATCCTGACTCCTGGCTTTCCTCATCGCTGTGTCCCTTTCTGTGTTCCCTGACCTCGGCTAGTATTTTTGACTATTCTTTGTACGTTAAATCCGGCCATTCTAAGGACCGGTAATACGTTACTTATTTGTCATCCGTGCTGTACAGTTTTACGTGCTGGATCAAACAGTAATCCTGACAAAATATCCCTGTGAGGAATATTTAATGACTGTGTGTATGTGACTGGATGTGACTGTGGGTGACTGTGTGTCACTGTGTATATATGACTGTAAGTGACTGTGGCCCTACTGTGTGTATGTAATTGTGTGTGACTATATATGACTGTGGACGACTGTCTGACTCTATGTGACTGTTTGACTGGCTTTGTGTGACTGTGTATAATTAGCTGTGTATGTGGGTTTTTATGACTGCATGTGACTATATATGACTGTAACGGATCACCTGGCACCCCGACTGGGTACCTCCGTTGAAAGATGCTCCTAGCGCTTCCAGAGGACTCCAAGCACTCCACCAGACACCATAAGCACCGCAGGCTGCAGCTATCTCCCTTCAGAACGAAGCAGGAACAAGCTCTTACAAGAGCTCAGTGATTATAGCAAGGGAATATGCCTAGCATAGCAATCCCTTGTAGCAGATTCCCCCAATAAGAGACAGGACTCAAGTTGAGGGTAAAAATAGAACTCTCTGGCTGCTAGCTTGCAGCCCTTTTTATTAGGTGCTCCCATGAAGGGGAGGGACACACACAGTAACGTACATTAACCAATCACACAATAGTTACATCCCACACATAGCCCTCCCCTCTACCTGTAAACTAATTATCTGTACACACAGGGAAATACAATTATCATAGGTAGGGAAAATACAGTTTTTACACAACATTCATAACTCCCAAAATATACATCACATTTGCATAAAAATACATATTCACAATCAATCCATTCAGGGGAACAACATATTAAAAAATGGCATGAATCAGACCAGGGGTTCAAAAGTTAGTAAAAGTATCTTTTGTTCCCCCTGGCTCAAACAGTAAAAGTAAAACATCCCCACAATGCATCCTGGCTTCCTCCCTTCTGCCCTGGAGATAATTGGAGAAGGAATCTAATTATCTCCAAAGACAGAGCCAAACTCCATTACCCACATGGCAGACAAAAAGACAGTAAAAGACATAAAATTACATACTGACACATTTAGTACATAAAACACACATTTCTACATATCCCCAGATAGCTTGGATCTGACTGCACATTATTATATGAATGGCACTCAGATCACACGAATAAGCCTTTCTGCAGGGAAAATAAACAGTTTAACCTGCAGGGCCATAGTCCAAAGGCAAGAGGCGGGCAAGCAGCCCCCTCCAAGGACACGTGGCGAGGTCGGTTTTGCCACACTTCTCCCCTTTGCCCCCCAGACTAACAGGGTATCTGACCTCCTGCCGGTCAGTGCCCTGGTTAGTCCAGCAACCCACCCACGAAGCACAAACAGCAGTACAGCCCACCCACAATAAATGTTTACTCCACCTGGATAAAGTAGCAACTTGTCCATGTCCAGGTGCCTCACCACGGCTGTGTGGGGAGCTGGTAGACTGCCTTGGTGGGTTGCTGAGTGGGCAGAGACCAGCGGTACTCTGCCCTGGTGCCAGCGCTACCACCGAAGTAGCCTGATTGGAGCCTGGTTGTGGGAGGGGGAGACCGACCG